ACTCGTTCTCTACATGCATGCGATGATGATGCAACACTTAGCATTTATGCAATAGCAACTCTTAAAATAAGAATACACATACTAAGCTATTAAGCTAGCTCTAATGACTAAGATACTAAGCTAACTATCATCTATACCAAGCAAAGTGTTGGGTTCAACTAACAAACACCTAACTTTACAAATGGAGGATATATCTTCATTTCTACTAATGATTTAATGTATATTGAAACAAAGATCATTAAACTACCCTAATGCTTAGTCCATTCTAAAGCTACAAAAATTACAGTGAGCACATAATAATACAATGAAGCTACCATAAATATTTCAGGACTAAAGCTATCATCAATTTACCACAAAAATTCCTACAATATTTAACCTAATAATATTAAGCACTCTCAAATGATTTAATAGCTCTTGGTATCAACATGTACATATATGAACTAAAAGAAGAAAACACAGCAGAAGCCTAATGTGGCAACATCATTTAATTTTGTAGTTGTAATTTTACACCATTCAATATGGTACATGTACATTGTACTTAAGTAATCTCTATCGGCAGTAGACAGTAAAAGACCTATGCATTGTGCTTATGTAATCTCTATCAGCAGTCGTCTGAGGAAGTCATATGCATTACTTGTTATAAATTAATCTCTTGGGTTTTCAGTTGAAGTCCTCTTCCACTATCTGTAACCTAATGTTTTACTGATTGAATTTCACAGGAAGCTATGGAAGCTATGCAAGCAGAACCTGTTGCTGATGGGCATCAACCAATGACTAGTGTTGATGTTGTTTCCAAGGTTCTCTGCCTCTACTAGGGCAAGTGCCTCTCCTAGGCAAGCAGCAAAAACCTTTTTTTGAAGAACGCTGTTATCCTGAGAAGCTCCACCAAAACAGAGACATCGACGGAGATGACACTTCGGGAGCAGCTTGCTAGTGAACAGGAAAGTACATCTGAGCTCGTAGAACTAGTGGATGAACTGAAGGTGAGGACAGAAAAGGCTGAAAGGGAGCTTGAGGAATTCAAGCAACAGCAACAGGAGGAGTACAATAGGCTCAGTGAGCTAGTCTTGCGCTTAAGCTCTCCTGGTAATTAACTCTATGTCTTCAACTCCTGCGGCATGATGCGATGAATATTTGTGGTCAATTGTGTGGGCGCATGTGACGGTTTGATGTTGTGATACTCTGTCAGTAGTTTGTTGCTGACGTGTGAAATGTTAATTGTGGTTATTTGATTGTCAGGCTAAATTGTAATGTAGTCAATCTGTGCAGTAGTGACGATCTCAAATTACTTATATGACAAATTGATTGTACTCCATGCGGTAGAACCAGAACAGGCCACGTGATCAAATAAAAATGCGACACGTGGAGGAATCAGTGCATGACACGTGAAATAGCCAGAACACGATGTGGGCTATTAAAAATCCGACACATAGAAGGATGTCGTCAAGCCATGTGGCCAAATAAAAAATGCGAAACATGGACAGACAGTGTCGTGATGCGTGGTCGAATAAGAAACGGCCACGTGGACCAATAAAATATGCCACATGGTCCAATGACGAAGTGACACGTGATCCAACCGCAACACGACACGTGTGCCCGTAGAAAACTGACATGTGGAACAACAGGAACACGACACGTGGTCCTTTAAGATCTAAAATGTGCAAGAATCAGAGATGGCCACGTTGTGTAATAAGAAGGTGACACATATCCGAACAATCTTCAATGCAACCGGCTATAGCATGTATACGTGAAAAGAATCTCTAACGGAAGCACATACCAGCGTGGCAGTCCCATGTTACTCATGCCAAAATAGTTCTATGACGTTCTGTTTTCGTCACAGATCAATCCACGTCTATGACGTTTTGTGAAAATCATTATAGAATTTTAAATGTGACGCGACTTCTATGACCAACCGGTTTTCGTCATAAATTCATTATAAAATTAAAATTATGATGAATTTGGCTTATTTAGTGATGAAAGTTGATCATCATATAAATGGATATTCCTACTTGTGATTGTTTTGTAGTGTTGCACATACGATGTGATGAGAAGGGACGAGGTGATTGTTTTGTAGTGTTGCACATACGATGTGATGAGAAGGGACGAGGCGAGGCGATGAAACAAGCGGCCATGCAATGCAATGGCGCCTGTGCCTACTGACTAGTATTAGTATTACTACGGGGTTTTCCCCTCCAGTCCTCTCGCCCCTCTCAGCTCAGTCGGCTGGCAATTTGGTCAATCCTTGCTCGATAGCTGGCCGAGGATTCCGCTCCTTCGTCACACGACTTTACTAAAGGCACGTGGTGAATGATTTTAGCAAATTAGAAAATTCATGGCACTAGTTAGCCCACAACCACCAACACTCGTCCATAGTGCTAGTGCCAGGAACGGCAAACATACGCTGGAACAGACATTCGGCAAAGTAGACACTCGCCAAACAACACTAGGCAGCATGAGGTTGGGAAAAATCTGTGTTTCAGCAATTCTAAAAAATATGTATGATGCACATGTGCATGTGTCAAACATTCTAAAAAATGTGTATGTGTCAAACATCTTGTGATACTCACCTTTTCATATTCTGATCCTACAAATGCTCCTAGTAATGAAAATCAAACAATTGAATTGGTAGCATGCGGATGTGCTATGTGAAACCTTCGGACACTTAGTTAATATGATAGCTAGGTTGAGTTGAGCGACAACATCCCTAGTATTTTTGTGACGACAAAAGTACTAGCTATGCAAACGATTTTATTCTCAGAATTTTAGTATCGCGGCCACCAATAGGTCCAGTTCTGAGATAAAAAAAAAAAAACAGTGTAGCTCCAGTTCCATGAACCGCCATATTGTTAGGCGGTTACAGCCACCTCTCTTGTCGTCCAACCGAGCACGTATGTGCGTTGCATATCGAAAAACCTGCACAGGAGCGGCGACAAAAAGGCATACACATGCATGCATAAAGCTCTGGGAAGGTCGCGTACTTGTCCACGTCCTGCGGTAGGAATTGGATGATACTGAATCCATTCTAAATTATAATTCATTTAACTTTTTATCCTAAGTTAATCACTTGTCTTATTCAAAAAATTATATAAAACATCACTTCTTTTGTAGTGGCTTGCTTTATTAATAAAAGTTCTTCAAGAATGACTTAAATTTGACTATGTTTATATAAATTTTTTGAATAAGACGAGTGACCAAACTTGAGGTCAAAAAGTTGAACGAATTATAATTTGAAACGGAGGGAGTACATGGCAGTAGGCATTACCTATTTCGGGTGTGTTTCAAAGACAAAGAGATCTAATCTAAGTTTAAGATTAATTAGGTATCTTAATTAAACCTAAAGATCCTCTGTTAAGCTCCTAACCCTGAGTAAATTCTGAAAAATTAATGTCTCTCTTGCACGGGATTGCGAGATTAAGCCCCCGCTTTTAACTGAAAATGCAAGCATGATTTTATCAATCGATACAGATCCGACCGTACCACCTGCCGGATGTATGATGGATTTAAGCTACTAAGACATCCTAGCTAGGAGGAGTATAATTTTTGTGTAGACTCCAAGCCAAGCCAAGCTAAACGCACATTGGCGGCTCAAGATCACCAGCATGCTCGCGCCGTCCCACTCAGTAAGCCCGGAGCAGCAGTGATCAGATTTTTTTTCACTTGAACTGGCATCAGTCCACCTCCACTCCACCTGCATGTGAGCTCTTCCCCTGCAGCCTGTAGTCCTATACTGCGCCTACAAGTACGCTCTCCGTTTCAAAATAGAAGTCGTCATAGGATACGTGCAGGTTAAATTTTTTTAACTTTGACTAGATATATAAAAAATACTTGCAATATTTATATTTTAAAATAAATTTATTATCAAATTATATTCAACGATCTACCTAATAATACTAATTATATATTATAAATATTAATATTTATATATATATATATAGTCAAAGTTAAAAATATTTGGCTTCTTCAGAAATAAAAATAACATCTATTTTGGGAGGGAGTGAGTACATGCCAAACCCAAATGGGGATGGACGGGAAATTCTACTGCTACTTTAGTGCCAGGTCGCCTTTTGTCTGGTGAACGCCAGGTCGCCTTTTGTCTGGTGAACGTTTCTACACTTTCATTCACTATACTGTTCTGCTACACCCTGTACTGGTCCGCGAAGTCGACAACATTTTCCATATGGAAACCTTGCGGCCGTCAAATTTGTCGCAAACTCTAGTTATTTCTAAGCTATTGTTACTATGTTAACTAACAAGGAAAGGAATTTTTGTAATTGCACAGTTAGAGTTGGAAGAGTTAAAAGATAGCTAGTTCGTTTCGACTTATATGATCATAAATTATAAATTAGAATAGTATTTTTCTCTCACATTAAACCAGTCAATAATACTTTTGACTTATAATCAGGCTAAAAGAGAACTCAGTTCCAAGGATAAAATAGACGGTAAAATTGTAGCTGCGACGCGAGTACACAACGACAGGAAAATCTGGTATAGCACCCGCTCCGTCCTTTAGCCCTGTTTAGTTCCAAAAATTTTTCTAAAAAGTGCTACAGTATTCATCATATCGAATCTTGCGATGCGTGCGTGGAACATTAAATATAGAAAAAAAAACTAATTACACAGTTTAGTTGGAAATTGCGAGACAAACGTTTTGAGCCTAATTAGTTCATGATTGAACACTAATTATCAAATAAAAACGAAAGTGCTACAATAACCCAAATTCCAAACTTCAGCCAACTAAACATGCGCTTAATTGTCAAAAAAAACACTGCTCCGTCCTTTCACCTGTGATACGGGGCCCACAAGCAGAGAGCACTACTACTATACCACCGCCGGCCCCACAAGCAGAGCACGCGCGGGTGGGCGTTAAATTGGCGCTATCGCGTCGCCTCCATTTACTGCCTCCTCCTTCCTCGCCTCTCCGGCCCGCTTCCAGATTGGCAGATTTTAGCAGCTCGTCGCCAGGCGAGCCGGGCCAGCGCCCGTCGCGCGGGCAGGCAGGCATGGGAAAGAAGCACGCGGCAGGTGGCGGCGGCGGCTGGTTCGCCGCCGTCAGGAAGGTGTTCCGGCCGTCGGCCTCCTCCTCCTCCTCCTCCTCTGCCACTACCTCGTCCAAGGACAAGGACAAGGATGCCTTGCAGCGCGGGAAACAGGTAGGCGCCCCGCACACGCCAATGCGATTACCGTTCTGACATCCATGTACAATTCTTGACGAGCTAGCTAGTATTTGGATCGGCTGGCAAGCCATGCCATGCCATGGTGCTGCGAGCGATCGTCATATTCATGGCGATGGTGAGCGAGTCGTGCTGCCGTGCCGTGCGTGATGCATTTTGCATGCTGTGCGTGCGTGTCAGGACGGCGCCGGCGAGGAGGAGGCCGCCGAGGAGCCGGAGGTGCTGCTGCTGGAGCACTTCCCGGCGTCCGAGACGTCGGCGGATGCGAGCAACGACAACGAGGGCGGCGACGCGGAGGTGGCGGCACTGGCAGCAGGAGTGCGGAAGAATGGTCGTCGTCAGGAGGACGAGGAAGAAGAGGAGGAACTGCTGCTGGCCGACGACATGGAGCGCGCGAGGGCGCTGGCGGCCGCGGCCGAGGCCGCCGTGGCCGCGGCGGAGGCGGCGGCCAGAGTGGTGCGGCTGGCGGCGCTCCGGCGCTTGACCCGGGAGGAGCGCGCCGCCGTGCGCATCCAGGCCTACTACCGCGGATACCTGGTACGTACGTGCCCACAACCACAAGCTAAACAGGTAGCCGTAGATTACAGCATACGTATACAACTTCAGTTTCCCTTCCCATCCGGCCGTATTATACATACATTGTTCAAAATTTCAATGCATCATTGTGTGTACGAGCTAATCTGGATCATATGATATATCCCTTCTGGATGGGAGAGTAAACATTGGCATCCTAATCAAGGACTTGCAACTAGGGTCATCCTTACACACTACGTACTGGCTAAGGACCAATCAGTTTGACATCCAGCTGCAGAAAAAATATATATTCAGGAAAAGAAGAGGGTGTGGACGATGGCGAGAAGAAGCATAAAAGGTGACTGGTCAGTGGGTAGTAGCCTAGTAGGTGGGGAGCCCTTGTTTAATTTTTGACACCATACTACTAATGATGGGGGAAGCAAGGTAAGATCGGGCGTTAAAATCAGGTGATGACTTTTTAAGGTGGCAGGCCTATGGAGGCAGCTGCCAAAGGGAATGATCAAGAAGCAGATCGCTTGCTTACAGCACAAGTAGGGAGGGAGATTTGGCGAGAATGACAAGGCACAGACTTGGTGTGGAATCATCATGCATCAATTCCACCGGTGGCGATTTGGCGTGTACTAGTAGCAGTAGTAGTGCCTGCATCTGCATGCCTGATGACCTGTTGTGGGTTGTGGCAACGGGCAATGGCACCCACCAACCAGACCAGCCCTACCGAGCTGAGTAAGTGCGCTTTTATGGGGCGCACGGCACGGCCGGTTCCGTTGCTTCTTTGGGTAGATGGGCGCTCCCGTTAACATTCACACACAGAATGTGTCCACCGTACGTAGGTGCACCACCCACCCAACCCACCGCAACTTTTGCTCGACTTCACATGCTCTCCGCTACTGTGTTTAATTTGGCCTCTTTTAACTGGCTCCTAACTGAGTTATGCTAATGAGTGGTCAAGCTGGTGCAGTGTTCATGTCTCCTCAATTATAATAAAATAAATTGCCCAATGCAACTATAGCTGCTTCCATATCCATCCTCTAGAAGAAAGAGTAGAGGAGGTTTTGTACATGTTATATCTCTCCAATCCTCTAGTCGTAGTACCTTTAGTTACTCAGCCTATTCGCTTGTTGGTTTCAGCCAGCCCAAACCAACCAGCCAACAGTGTTTTTTCTCTCAAAAAACCAGCACCAGCCAGCCCAAACCAGCCACCAGTACTGACTTCGTCGTCGACAAAGAGTAGAGGAGATTTTGTACATGTTATATCTCTCCAATCAAGTTTTGATTTGTTTTAGGCCCGGCGAGCCCTGCGCGCACTACGTGCCCTGGTGCGCCTGCAGGCGCTGGTGCGCGGTCACCAGGTGCGGCGGCAGGTGCACCTCACCATGCGCTGCATGCAGGCCCTGGTCCGAGCCCAGGCCCGCGTCCGCGCGCGCCGCGTCACCGAACACCCGCTCCTCCTCCTCCCGCCGCCGACACCGCCAGCCAGCCGCTCCACCGTGCTAGGAGCAGCGGGGCGTCCACCATGCGTCGAGCTGGCATTGCAGGGCGACCACGACTTCAGTGACGACGACGAGGTGGCAGACCTGTTGCTGCGGCAGAGAAGCAGAAGCAGAGGCAGGTTCGGAAGAGGCGAGGATAACGGCGGCGGGAGGAGCCCTTCCGGCGCCTGGGACAGCAGTAGCCGCACCCTGGAGGACGCCAGGGCCGAGGGCGCGCGCCGGCACGACGCCGCCGCACGCCGGGAGCGGGCGCTCGCCTACGCCTACGCCTACCAGCAGGTGCGCCGTGCGCGTGTGTCTGCTACCAGCTACTACCGTACCTGGTGCCGGTGATTATTAATAATCCTGCATTTACTTCGATTCGATCTGACAAATGTTTGGCGTCCATGACATGAGCAGCGGCAGTGCCAGCGGCAGGAGGACGAGAAAGCCGGCCTGGGCTTCCACTGGTTGGAGCGCTGGATGGCCGCGACGCAGGCGCAGCAGCCGGAGCACGCGCCCGACCACGCCAAGACTACGCACCAGAGCACCACCGCCAGGACGACGTCCTACGTCACGGCGGCCGCTGCTTTCCCGAACGGCATGTCGGAGAAGACGGTGGAGATGGAGACGACGTCCCGGAGCCCACTGAACCAGGCCGCCACGGTTGCGCACGGGCGGCCGCCAGCGATCCCACGCTACATGGCCGCGACAAGGTCGGCTCGAGCCAAGGAGCGTCCCGTGCCGCCGTCGTCCACACCGACGCACGCCAGGAGCCGGTCCGGCGGCGGGCTCGCCGGGGACACGTCGTGCTCGGGCCAGAACGGCAGTTCAATCGCCGGGTACAGCCCGGACTCGAGCGGCACAGGAGACTGGACCCCGCCGCGGCTTGGTGTCAGCACGCGCACCAGCAGGGTGGCCTATACATGAGCTTGACTTGAGCATGGCATTCAAGACAAAATCCAATGCGTCGTACGTCGTGAGTGTGCTTGAGAGTTGAGACGTGTTCGCGACTCATTTTTTAATGTTCTTGTTGTTCACAATGTATGTATGTATGTATAGCTTGCTATGTCAGATGCCACGGCGCCTGATGCCTCTGTAAACGATCTGAATACTCAAAACGATTGCGAATAAACACTCGAGAATTCTAGATGTGTTATTATGGCTCAGCTGAGATCGAAGCTTTTTAATGATTTCTCTAAAGAAACAAAAACAAATTTCATCCTTTGTATGCTAGTCTGTTTTCTCGTTTAGTCCAATCAGATTTTGCAACGCTTGAATTTGTTCGAAATTTATGTGATATATGCTTTGAATCTTTTCTTTGAGCTGTTTTTTTGGCTTATATATGATGACAAACGGAAAGCATTCCGATGAGAAAGATAAGTACTTCATTTTAGTGGTACTACAAATCTACTGTACAATGCAACACACATCATCAAAACAGTTGGTTGGAGGACGACCGCCTGTAATGCTCACTTGCCCAGCTTCTGCAACAACATTTTTGCCGGAAGTACTAGGGACTGTATCTCTTTATAAATTCACAGTTTCCCGAAGCAAGGAGAACTTAGACTGCAATAGTAGACTTGCTAATTACTCTGCAAGATAAATTTCTTGTCAATTCCCAGTCTACCAATGCTAATATAGCAACTTAAAGTGACTGAATAAGGAATGTGTCAAACAGTGTTTACCTATAAGGTGGAAGCAGACACCCTGACAGGCTTCAAAATTCTTACAACTCTCCTCACGTGTTCAAGAATAACATAGAACACTCCAAAGATGAAGAGAAAAATAAGTTGGAGCTTCCCGAGTAGATTGTATGTAAAGACGAGGTAATTCACTCTGTCATCGTCTGTTTTGGTCAGACAACTTGCTGATCCAGATAGAAGAAGACCATCAGACTTCTTTGGAAGGTTTGACCACTCCTCTAGGTCTTTATTTGATTTTGATGCCTTTATCATCTCCATGAGGGACATATTAACCTCAGCTGGTCTTTCATGGCTCACAAGGTGGCCTCCATGGAGCTCAACCAACTTAGCAGCAGGCTGGAGCTTTTCTGCGAGCCTCCTTGCATGGTACAACTGAGCAACCACATCATCCCTGATGAAATGTAAAGAGTGTATCGCTGATCAGTATTGTGTGGATCAATGGACAATGATGGATGGATTATGCGAGTTTTCAGTTACCTGCCATGAATAATTAGAACAAGGAAACCTGCGAAGCGAATCCTGTCTAATTCTGTCGGAGAGAGCTTATGTGTCCAGCAAGCATTCATTTGCCCCTCAAATCCATATCTGGATTGCATGCCACCGGATGACAGACCTTTAACATATTCCTGCAAAGAAAAAAATATATATATTATACATAAGTCTGATAGTCACATACTTAATCAGATACTGGGTACATGACAAATGACGTTCTATGGGTTGTTTTGCATCTTTGACTTCTATAGGCGTTCTTGTCCAGGTATAAAAATTGTTGTCCTATTTGTTGTAACCAAGTCTGGTTTTCTAGGACAGGTCAATAATCCCATGTTCTTGTTTACTAAGAGATTTATCATGTTATTAACAGATATATGGGCTAACACTTAAAAGAGTTCACTTCCTTCACTGTTCTTCGAACTTCTTACCTGATAAAGCATTTGTCTTCTGGTACTTGTTCCAATAACTTCCTCAAGGTATTCCTGCAGTATGATATGATTTTTAAATCAGTATATCCTTCAACAAATTTTCCATGGGCATACGCAAATCATACTTTCGAGAGAGAAAAAAAAGAGAAGTGGTCACCAACCCTCGTATAGTGGACTTCAAGATCGAGAATGGCTCTTTGCTCCGGCGTTCTTGCTCTTAGAAAACGACATGCAAGAGATATCGTGTGCCAATCAATCTGGAATTGAAAATGTCATTGGCATTAGGACGAGCTTAATTACTCCTAAAAACCGGGTCAGCACAAGTTCAATGACAGCAGCAAAGAAAATAGTTATTCACCAACACCCAAGTTGAGAACAGTGGCTAACCAATGCATTGAAGAGGTAAATGCAAACTATTGTCAGTAACATGAGTGGATTAATTTTTAATTAGTTATAAAACACGAAACATCGATACTTTAAATAACTATTTTTTAAAAAAGAAACCATGATTTGCGGAAATGCCGAAAAGGGCCAACGTTGTGTTGAAGAATGTAGTGTTCTAAGTTGTTACCAGTGGAAGGAAGAGGAACCCAACAAATTGTTCTAACGCAGATATATGTCTATCCAAGGAGCATCATCCATTTGGCACAAAATGGCCCAAAACTTAAAATCACCGTAGCTTTCTCAAATTTAACGTAGATAAGGAGGTCGCGATCACGGCCCAAAAAGATCCTCATATACTTCCAACAAATATCAGCAGCTAGAAATCAAAAGGTAAATTTACTCATTTTTTTTGAAGAAAATGAAAATGTAAAATAATTTCCCCTTTTTTCTGAAACGAAACTAGAACTCATTTTGTTTTCTGTGTACCAGACATGTCCACATCGTACCACTGAATTTAAAGCTACAAACTAGAAGCTTCACCCATGTCTTCTTCTGTCTCCCCCTTCCGTGTGAGTGTGACAGTCATTACCAACTGTTGATTCTAGCGAATATAATGTTGACTCTTCCTCTCTGTCGATGTCAGATTTTGAATTCACCTTTGAATGTATCATGTTTGTTTTGGTCAATTTCTGTGGCCCAATAATAGGCCACCCCTAAGCCGGAGAATCAATCAATTGCCAGAGGGAACGGTCGACACACAACACAACACACAACAACAACAAAAACACAGAAATATCCTCCAAGGGAGACTGTGATTCAACTCACAAACAAATGGAGCTTTTTCTGAACGTGTCAAAGAGAAGTGCTAAAAAGTGACATGATTTGCAGTATCTGTATTGCTGGGCGAGAGTGGGCGGCCACACCTACCTTTGGGATGCACTGGTAGCCTCCTCCGGTGGTGTTGAGCAACGCCAGCGACGCGACCCGGTCCGGCGCCATTGCGGCCAGTTTCGAAGCTATCATGGAACCTGTTCCAGAATCCAGATACAGTTTGTGTCAAGTTTATTTACAGTTTGTGTCAGAGTCATCAGTCATCACATCAGGAAGACCGATGACCACTCAGACTCAGTCACCAGTGGAGGGAAGAAATTGTCTTACCCATGGAGTGGCCGAAGACATGCGCTCTTCGCCATCCCAGGTGATCCATGAGCGCTAGCGCGTCCTTGGCCATGATCACGGTCCTGCGATGCCAAGAAGCAAGAGCGAGCGATATCGTTAGAACCAGAACCATCCAGCATGCAAGAATCTCCGTCGCTGTCGCGCCAAGGCGAATGGGAAACGAGTGGAGAAGAGCAAACGAGCTAGGGAAACGTGATCCACGCACGCACGTGTACTGCGACTTTTGCGCCGGGACGGAGCTTCGCCCCATGCCGCGGTTGTCGAAGCAGCAGACCTCGACGCCGGAGCCGTCGTCGTCGTCGGCCGGAGCCTCCTCGTCGACGGGCTCCATGGCGCCCGTCAGGCCCTTCACCTGCGGGGCCCACGACTCGTACGTCCCCGCGAACCCTGCGATCCGATTGGGAAATATATTCCATCCTTGGTGTTAGGGAGAACGGTGTCACGAAATTGAACGCGAGGATTCAATTCAAAACGAAAGGAAAACAACAGAGAGAGAGAAGAATGTACTACCGATGATGAGGAGGACCTTGGTGGCACCGTGGCCGTACCGCTGGTAGAAGATACGCACCTCCCCCTGTTCGCCGGCGGCGACGGCCGCCGCGGTCACCACGCAGTACGGCATGCTGCCTTCCTCCTGCCTCTCGACAGCAGCAAGTAACTACAAGAACAGCAGCCTGGACTCTCGCCTCCTCTCCTCGATCACTTCGCCGAGATCAGCATCAACCAAAACTCCAAATCAGGCAGAGAGGGGACAAAACAAGATGATTCGTGGCGCGCGACGCTATGATACCCGCTCGGCCGCCTCGGCTTATAGGTACACGGAGAGCGGGACCGAGGCGAACGGCGGGCTGCCCGTTGCCCTTCACGACGCGGACACGGAGACGGGGGACAAGACTGGCGGGAGCTTTGTCTTTATAGTCCATCCGTCCAAGTCCAAGCTCCAAGGATGGAGAGGCAAACACGAGTACACGACGACGTTGGCCCCGCGGTATCCGACTCCGAAATGAAGAAAAAAAAAGTGCTTCTTCTTTCTGAATGTAAGAAACCAAAATTTTATATAAAAGAAAAGAATATAAAGGATGCCAGAGTCAAACCATAGTTTGACCACGTGCGAGGGGAGGCGCAGTGGGTCCAGGCTCAAGACGATCCACTCTCCTGTAGAGTGGGCTCTGTACCAGGGGCCAGGGCTGCTGCCCGCAAGGGCCAGCAGGAGACTAGTTCAAGCTTCCACTTATGAGTGCTTGGCCAGGGCTGATGCATCTTGAATCTAGCAACGGAATGCTCTCGCGTTCGGACGCGCCAACTACGTGTTGATATATCATCGGCTTAGTCCGTATAATATTTAATAAATTAAATAAAACTCTATGGTACATAATATTAAGCGTTGTATGGTTTAATATCGTATGGGATTTTGACTGAACGTTTACTTAGCTTATTTAGTTAGAAATTATCCATCATAATTGAGAAGCTGAGAAAAGGACAAAGGAGTGCCACACGCGCGCGCACGCCGCCGCCCAGGCCGAGGGCATGGGCCGGGCCGAGGCCGTGGCCAGGTTTTGCCACTTAATCCACATAATCACGGGAGTTTCTCTCCTTTATGGTGGAAGCGAACTGATTGCTTCAGTTAGCGTCTCATGCGATCCTCCGCTGCCTTTCTCCCTCCCTAGTCCTCCGTCAGTCCAAATCTTCCGCTTCCGAGAGACCACATCTCAGCCACCCTTTGGAGTAGCGGGAGAGCAGTTGTCTCCGGAACCCTCGTCTGCCTACGAACCTTGCACGGGGTGTGCGGCGATTAGGTTTTTGGGGAGCGATTCCGCGACTGCTCGTCCGACGTCTTCTTCCTAGTGATCGCTCGTGGAACCTATCTTCTTTTTGGTGATCAATCGCGGAACTCGTCTTCTTTCTGGTGACCGTTCGTGAGACTGCACTGTGAACACCTTCCTGCATGGACTGTGGTCCACGACTTTGAGCAACGCACTATGTCGACTAATGCGAATGGAGCCTCCGATGCCCTCGGCATGGGACCCTCCGCTGGGTACAATCTTAACTCTGTGATTACCGCACTTTGCGCTCTTGCTATATCGATTTGTATGTCATACTTGCATGCTGTAGCGTTTGTTAGTGATATACACATGCACTTATATGTCGTCACAAACCTACTGATGTTTTATTTCTGGATTAAATTGACCATGAAAATGCCTATTTATCTAACAATTCAAAAACCTAATGTTAGGCAATTTTTAGTCAGTGGTTTTGCTGCTGCTTTGAAGCCAAATAATTTTAATGGCAAGAATTTTATGATATGGCATGCCAAGATGGTATTGTGGTTGACTGTTATGAACTGCTATCACGCCGCACAGGGGAAGCCTGAACAATTTACTCCTGAGGAGGAGCAAAAGTTCTTGGCTGCCTATAATCTATTTTGAGGCACCGTGATTAGTGCACTTTATCCTAAGTATAAGAAAAACTACATATCTTGCACATCAGGCAAAGAGTTATGGGATGCTCTTAGGCAAAGTTTGGAGTTTCTGATGTTAGTAGTGAGCTATACCTTATAGAGCAGCTGTATGACTATAAAATGGTTGAAAACCGTTCTGTAGTGGAACAGGCTCATGAGATACAGGCGCTAGCAAAGGAACTAGAACATTTTCTATGTCTGTTGCCCGACAAATTTGTGGCCGGCGGTATAATCGCTAAGCTGCCACCTTTTTGAAGGTATTTTGCTACTTTTCTAAAAACAAAAGAGATAAGAGTTTAGCGTGGCTGAGCTTATTGGATTTCTTGATGTTGAGGAGAGGGCGAGAGCAAAACACAACTATGGAAAAAGAGTTGAGTCCTCCGCTGCCAATATGATGCAGAAGAAAAACTCATTTGCATCATGTAATAAAAAGAAGAAGAATATGCAAGAGAACAACAATACAAAGCCTAAACAAACTGCTCAGTTTAAGAAGAAAAACAACAAGAAAGATGGAGGTTGCTTTGTTTGCGGGAGTGATGAGCATTGGGCAAATACATGTCCAGACCACAAATATAAGCAAGAAAAGAAATTAGCAAACGTGGTGATTAACGAGACTGGAGGAGGAACATCTGGGTATGGTAATTCTTTACCTTTTGTTCTTTCAGTTTATCTTTCACCTGAGTGGTGGATGGATAGCGGTGCTAATATTCATGTGTATGATGATGTTTCTTTGTTTACTTTCTATCAGGTCGGCAGGACTGGAGCCTTCCTAATGGGAAACGGTTCGCATGCGCGTGTTCTTGGTGCTGGGACGGTCGTTCTGAAGTTTATTTCGGGAAAGACGGTGCTATTAAAGAACGTGCAGCATGTCCCCTCCATCAAGAAAAATCTTGTTAGCGGTTCTCAAATATGTCGCGATGGTTTTAAAATTATGCTTGAGTCCAATAATTGTGTTGTGTCGAGACATGGAACATTTATTGGAAAAGGTTATGATTGCGGAGGCTTGTTCCTCTTATCTTTACTTGATGATGTGTGTAATAAAGTAGTGAACAATGTTAATATTTCGGATGAGTCGAATATATGGCATTCACGATTTTGTCACATTAATTTTGGCTGTCTCACGTGGCTTGCAAATCTGAATATAATCCCAAAATTTAACTTAGTCAAAGATTCTAAGTGCCAGGTGTGTGTGCAATCGAAGCAACCACGCCAGCCTCACAAGGCTGCTGAGGCGAGAAACTTGGCACCATTAGAACTCATTCATTCTGATTTATGCGAAATGAATGGCGAATTGACTAAAGGCAGTAAACAATATTTCATGATATTTATAGATGATTGTACTAGATTTTGCTATGTGTATTTATTGAAAACTAAATATAAAGCGTTGCATTATTTGAAAGTCTATAAAGCTGAGGTAGAAAATCAACTTGAGAAGAAAATCGAGCGTTTGCGGTCCAATCGCGAGGGAGAATATTTCTCAAATGAATTTTCTAAGTTTTGCGCGGTGCATGGAATTATTCATGAGAGGACGCCATCATACTCACCATAGTCCAATAGGATTGCAGAGAGAAAGAACCGCACTCTAACTGATTTGGTTAATGCCATGTTAGAGACTGCAGGACTATCTAAGGAATGGTGGGGTGAGGCTATATTGACAGCGTGTCATGTCCTGAATAGGGTGCCCACAAAGAACAAAGAAATTACACCATTCGAGGAATGAGAGAAGAAGAGATTAAATCTCTCTTACTTGTGAACTTGGGGTTGTTTGGCAAAGATGAATGTGCCAATAAACAAAAAGCGAAAGCTTGAACCAAAGACTGTTGATTGTGTTTTTCTTGGTTATGCTATTCATAGCATGGGTTATAGATTTTTAATTATAAATGCTAGTGTTCCTGAGATGGCTGTTGATATAATCATGGAATCTAGAGACGCTATATTTTTTGAGAATAAATTTCTCATGAAAAATGCACCTAGCATGACTGGTCATGAATTTATAATTCTCCATGAGCATGAAAATTTTACTCCGATAGAATAAATTGAGGAACCCTATATGCAAAATCCTGAGGAGGATGACACTATAGGCACTAGAAAAAGTAAGAGACAGAGGACTGTAAAGTCTTTTGGTGATGACTATATTGTGTACCTTGTGGATGACACACCAACGACCATTGATGAGGCATATTCCTCTCCTAATGCTGACTTATGGAAGGAAGTAGTACGGAGTGAGATGGGTTCTATTATGTCTAATGGAACTAGGGAAATAGTTGATCGTCCCTATAGGTGCAAGCCTATAGGATGCAAATGGATGTTCAAGAAAAAGCTTAGGCCTGATGGTACTATCGAAAGGTACAAGGCAAGACTTGTGGCCAAGGGTTATACTCAAAAGGAAAGTGAGGATTTCTTTGATACTTATTCACCGGTTGTCCGATTGACTACAATTCAAATTTTGCTTTTCCTAGCAACCTCCTATGGTATTATCGTTCATCAAATGGACGTTAAGACAGCTTTCCTAAATGGAGAGTTAGAGGAGGAGATCTATATGGATCAGCCGGATAGGTTTGTAGCAAATGGTTAAGAAGACAAGGTGTGTAAATTATTAAAGTCATTATATGGCCTAAAACAAGCTCCTAAACAGTGGCATGAGAAGTGGCTTTGTTGTGAATGAAGCTGACAAATGTGTGTAATAGTGGGGGTGAAGGAGTTATTTTGTGCTTATATGTTGATGACATACTGATCTTTGGATCCAGCCTCAAAGTGATTGGGGAGGTGAAGGAATTTTTATCTAATAATTTTGAAATGAAAGATTTGGGAGAGGCTGATGTTATTCTTAATATCAAACTTCTGAGAGAAGGTGATGGTGGGGTAACTCTGTTACAATCCCACTATGTGGAAAAGGTGCTGAGTCATTTGGGGTTTAGTGACTGTGAACCTACTCCTACATCTTATGACCCGAGTGTGCTATTGAGGAAAAATCAGAGAATAGCAAGGGATCAGTTGAGATATTCCTAGATCATTGGTTCGCTCATGTATCTTGCTAGTGCAACAAGGCCTGACATCTCATTTATTGTGTGCAAGCTGAGCCGGTTTGTGTCAAACCCAGGAGATGATCACTGACATGCTCTTGTGCGAGTGATGCGCTATCTAAAAGGCACTATGAGCTATCT